AGTCTCCCTGTGGGGCAACAAAGAAGGTACATCCATAGGATGGGGTTCTGCAGCACCGAGAAGTCTCCCATCCATCCTGCCCCAGCAGCAGAACCCCAGTTGTTCTAGGGAGGAGAGAGCTTGTCCTGAGCAGGCTACAGGACTTGATAGTCTCGTGACACTTAGCCATTGGAATGCCCGCTCTGCTCCGGGTCAGACCAATGGGAGTTTTGCCATTGATTTCAGTAAGCGAAGGATCAAAGCAAAAGTTTGGCTTCCAGGCTACTGCGAGCCGAGTGTGTGCCATGTGTTTTGCAGGAGGGAGAACGTAGTGTCTCAATCCAGCAACATGCCAAACACCTTTGCCGAGTGAGATTTGTCCAGTCCTCCTTTCTGAAGGGAAAGTCCTAGGCTGTGTCTAGACTACATGGCTCCATCAATGGAGCCATGTAGATTAGACAGATAGGCAAAGGCAAATGGAGCCGCGATTTAAATGATCGCAGCTTCATTTAAATTTACATGGCTGCCACGCTGAGCCGACAAACAGCTGATCAGCTGTTTGTTGGCTCAGCGCGGCAGCCATATAAATTTAAATGAAGCCGCGATCATTTAAATCGCGGCTTCATTTGCCTTTGCCAAAAAAACAAATCTACATGGCTCCGTCGACGGAGCCATGTAGATTTGTTTTTTTGGCAAAGGCAAATGAAGCCGCGATTTAAATGATCGCGGCTTCATTTAAATTTATATGGCTGCCGCGCTGAGCCAACAAACAGCTGATCAGCTGTTTGTTGGCTCAGCGCGGCAGCCATATAAATTTAAATGAAGCCGCGATCATTTAAATCGCGGCTTCATTTGCCTTTGCCAAAAAAACAAATCTACATGGCTCCGTCGACGGAGCCATGTAGTTTAGATGTACCCATAGTGACTTCATCTGAAATATTGTGCTACATTTCAGGAAAGATGGGGACAAATTGGAGAAGGTCCAGAGAAGAGCAACAAAAATGATTAATGGTCTGGAAAACATGACCTGGGAGGGAAGATTGGAAAAAAATGGGTTTGTTTAATTAGAAAAAAAAGAAGACTGAACATGATAAGAGTTTTCAAGTACCTGAAAGGTTATTACCAGGAGGAGGAAGAAAAATGATTCTCTTTAACCTCTGAGGATAGGACAAGAAGCAATGGGCATAAATTAGAGCAAGGAAGGTTTAGACTTCCTACCTGTCAGGGTGGTGAAGCACTGGAAGCACTAGGGAGGTTGTGTAATCTCCATCATTGGAGATATCTAAGAGGAAGTTAGATAGACATCTGTCCTTCTATTTCATGTATTCTGTGGTTCGGTGATTCTGCACATAACAAAGTTGTATGACGGCATTCAAAGCTCTCCTGCTTTCTCCTTTCTGATTGCACCAGATGAGGTGGACTCTACTGCAGAGCAGTTAAGGTGACTCAGAGGCACAAGGTTTTTAAGAGCAGGTTAGACCAACACCTGCCAGGGATGGTCTAGATATTATTTAGTCCTGCCATGAGCGCAGGGGACTAGACAAGAAGATCTTTTTCAGTCCTGTGATTGTATGATTCTATGACTTGGAACATTTGGGTATGTGTTGGGGTGGGGAATCTTGGAAGACAAGTTCGCTCTCACCCTTGACAGGAATATACTGCAAACAAGCCCCAAAGCTCGCTTATCCTCTTTCAACAGTGGTGTTTTATTTACCATTTGCATAGTCATTTAGGGTTTGATATGGGAGTTAGGCAGGCACCCCTTATAACCAGGCCTAAGTAATTTGCAAAAATAGAGTAAAATACGAAATCGCTATAATCTTTTATTTTGTCAAAAACTATGTAAAAAAGGGTATTTATTGGAAATGTCAGTAGCCCAAAGGCACACGTGATGCTAAAACAAAAATCAGTAGATTCAGGTTCTGATATTAGGGATGTTAAATTTAGTTTAATCGACGAGTCAATGGATTTTCCATCGATTCGTCGATTAGTTGATAATCAGGGAAACCGCAGGGGGATTAGCTTAATACATTTAAAAAGCAGAGGTGCAGCATCTTTAACCATATGAAGAGAGGTTAAAACGACTGGGACTTTTCAGTTTAGAAAAGAGGAGACTGAGGGGGGATATGATAGAGGTCTATAAAATCATGAGTGGTGTGGAGAGGGCCGATAAAGAAAAGTTATTTATTAGTTCCCATAATAGAAGAACTAGAGGACACCAAATGAAGTTAATGGGTAGCAGATTTAAAACTAATAAAAGAAAGTTCTTCTTCACACAGCGTGTAGTCAACCTGTGGAACTCCTTGCCAGAGGAGGCTGTGAAGGCTAGGACTATAACAGAGTTTAAAGAGAAGCTAGATAATTTCATGGAGGTTAGGTCCATAAAAGGCTATTAGCCAGGGGATAGAAATGGTGTCCCTGGCCTCTGTTTGTCAGAGGCTGAAGAAGGATGGCAAGAGACAAATCGCTTGATCGTTGTCTTTGATCCACCCTCTCTGGGGCACCTGGTGCTGGCCCCCTTCAGCAGACAGGCTACTGGGCTAGATGCACCTTTGGTCTGACCCAGTACGGCCGTTCTTATGTTCTTCTGTCTGGGACAGGGCACGAGCTGGGAATTAGCTGATTCCTGGCTTGCGCCCAGTCCACACTCCCCCCTGCCTCCCCTACTCCCTGTGGAGATGGTGCTGGGGGGAACTGGCTTTTAAGATGGCTGCCGGGAAGCAAGTAGTCAAGGGACTAGTCGACTATCCAATAAGCTTTTGCTCATCGGATTATCAACTAGTCACTTACCTCCCTATCTGATATTAGACTCCAGTGTAGCAAAGCATTTAAGTATATTCGCAGCCATAAGCACATGCTTAAATCCATCCGAGTTTAGCAAAATGCTTACGTATATACCTGACCACAGTAGAATTGAGGCATGTGCTTTAGTGCTTTGCTGAACCAGGGTTGTGTTATGCGGTACAGAAGAACAGAATGGGGAGGAAAGTATGTTTCAGGTAATACGCTGGAGGTTGTATTTCAGACTAAACTACACTTCTGAATTTTGTTTCACCCCTTGCTGTGACCACGTGTGGCTCTTCCACGTATAAAAACATTTTACCATTTGAAATGGCTATTTCAGTTTTTTCCCCTTTTCATACATCACTGTGTGTGTGTGTGAGTGAGTGAGGATAGAAATAGTCTTTTGCTCATTTTCATTAAAACCCGCTTGCTAATCTCTCTAGCTTCCGGATTCCAGAAAATATGGAAAATAAGGGCTTCCCATTCCTAGGGATGGTTGTAACTAGCCTGACGTAACTGCGCCAGCAAACCGCCTGCGTAGATGCACCCTGAGCTCACATAAAATAGAGGTTCCCTCAGGACATTGATCTCTCGTTGCGCAAGAGTGGGGTTTTACAAGGCCTTGACCCTCTTTGAGGGCTTGGACAGCTGTTTAAGTATGTAGGTGATGCCCATCCCCAGCAACCAAAGGGGTCTGCTTCTAACCCTGCTGAAGTCAGTGGTCGTCTTTCCACTTCAGGAAGCATTCAGTCGAGCTGCAATTGACCCCAGGCTGGCCTGAACGGGGGAGCAACCACTTGGGGAGGGGGGTGCAGTGGGGACAGGGCCTGGTGAGCCTGGGGGACAGGGCTGTGGAAAGGGAAGAGGGACCCCACCAGGGGCATGGGGTTCAGACCTCTTGGACAGGCAGGTCAAGGCGGAAGATTCTGCTTGGGAGCCGGCGATTCCTGGAGCAGGAGAAAGAAGCAAAGAAACCAGAGTCTGGGGAGGCGGGACAGGAGGAAAAAGAGCAGAGAGGGGCCACCCTGTGCTAGGAGAGCAGGGGAAGGAGCTGAGTGTGAGGGAGAGAAGGGGAGCACGGGGGAGGAGGATGGCAGATACGCTGCGTCTTTACGCATGGAGCCCAGAAGAGGCCCTGAGGTGGCAAAAGCAGCAAAACAAAGGGCTTGTGAGAACTGCCGGCTGCAGCAGTGCAGGGCAGCTCCCAGCGGATGGGCACCTGCGGCCACAGCGCTCAGTTCTCTCCCGGCATGCCCTCTGCTTTCTTGCAGGGCTGGCTCTCTGCTGCTGCCAGCGCTATCAGGGTCTAGGCTCCCCTAGCCTCCGTGGCGACTGCCCCAGTGGGGAGCGAACCGTAGTCCCATAAAGCTGTGCAGGGGGAGGTGCCATGCTGCAGAGCCCCTCCCCCTTCAGTGTTTCTGTGAGATGGTTGGGGCATAGTGCTGTCAGCGTCCCCATCTCCACTCGGTTCCTCAGCCCTGGTCATGATGTGCTGGGGGTGCGGAGGGGATCTGCTTGGCTGCCCAGGCCTGGTGGGCACATTCAGGGCAGGAGCCCAAATACCGATTGACCCCTAAAGCGAGGCCCTGAGTCTAATTATTTAGTTGCCAGGTTTGCAACACTGTAAGACCTGACTGTGGACCAAAGAGCCGTCTCTTCTGTCTTGTCTCAGTGCTGTGAATATCTGTCTGGCTGAGGTGCAACTCTAGTACTTAAAAACAATGCGAACAGGGAATTAAGAAGACTCTTCAAAAGAGAAGTCACAGAGGGGTAGCCCTGTTAGTCTGTGTCTGCAAAATCAACAAGAAGTCCCGTGGCACCATAAAGACGAACAGATTTATTTGGGCAGCAGCTTTTGACGAAGTTGGGTCTTTGCCCACATAAGCTTTAGTCGTTAATGACTCCTCATTGTTGCTTCAGAAGAGAGCAGACTAATTCGTTGTGGCTCATAAGCTGCCATCAAATCTAATAGGAAATGCCCCACCTCCAGGGACTGATCCTCCCGCAATATACAGCTGGAAATCAGTAGGAATTTGTGATATAAATCCTAGGGCACATTCAACCCTTCGTTGCTGACATTAAAGAGCATCAAAATGTTTGGAAGTGTCCAGTGCAATGGGAAACACAAGGAAGCCATTGCCTGGTCAGCTTCTTCTGTGGGTGGAGGTTTTATGTTGCGTTGTTAAACAGCGTCATCAAATAACAGGGCGTTTTATCTACTTGCCTTTGTGCTGCAGATGTTCCTGCCTGGCTGAAGAGTCTCCGCCTGCACAAATATGCAGCTCTTTTCTCCCAGATGACATATGAAGAAATGATGGCACTTACCGAATGCCAGTTGGAGGCACAAGTAGGTCTCAAGTTAGCAATGAAACACTTCGCCACGTTGCATTGTCGCTGGTGAGGTCCCGATCAGAAACGGTCTGTTTGTTCAGTAGATTGATAGGTTTCCCTGGAAACCTTTCATCGTTTGTTAACATAGCAAAAACACATCAAAAACACGCTAGCGAGCAGGCTCGGGACAAACGGCACATTGTACCCAAAAACGACCTGGCCAAAAGTTGGTTGGTGGAGTCATAGGGTATGTCTACACTTGCAGCCTGTTTCGGAATAGGTCTGCAAATGTAGGCATTCGGAATTGCAAATCAAGCCTGGGATTTAAATATCTTCCCGGACAGGCGCCATGGGCTTTTTTGTTTGGTTGGTTGGTTTTTTGGGGGGGGGGTTGGTTTTTTTTTTTTTAATTGACAAGCCCGGAATAACTTCCTGCGTCTACACGCGGCAGTGAAACGGGCATTCGAAATAAAGCCCTATTTCGAACTACCTGTTAAACCTCATTGCAGGAGGAATAACAGGTAGTTCGAAATAGGGCTTTATTTCGAACGCTCGTTTCACTGCCTCATGTAGACACGGGCAGTTATTCTGGGCTTGTCAATTTAAAAAAAAAAAAAGGCTCCCAGCCGGGAAAATGCAAATCAAGCACGGGATATTTAAATCCTGGGCTTGATTTGCAATTCTGAATGCCTGCATTTGCAGTCCTATTCCGAAATAGGCTGCAAGTGTAGACATATCCATAGGGTGATATTCTAGTCCCATCAAAGCCCCGACTTTCACCACTGTACTTTAAGGAGGACACCTTCAGAGGCACAAATGGCCTTCAGACATCCCATACCTGCTGAAAATCAGTGGGAGTTTGGTAACTGACTTATTGCTCCTTTAAAAATCTCCTTAATAGATTGCTTTCCATGCTGGAATAAATAGATCTGATTAGTATCTTTCCATATAAAATGCTGCTTCTGTGTTGCAACTAGATTCCAGTTTCCTCAGAGGTATGAATCCAAAAGTTTGATGGAATTAAATAGACTTTTTTCTTTTCTTTTCTTTTTTCTTTTTTTAATAAGAAGGATACTGTGGTGTTTTTGGATGCCTGGCCTATATAGCTGCTCAGCTCATTTTTCATTAGGTCTTTTTTTAAACTTTCAATTTCTTCAGAACCTTCTAAATTTTCTAGAGTGTTCACGGAGGTCATGTCTACACTTACAAGCGTACAGCAGCACAGCTGTGCCACTGTAAAAGCGTTCATGTCGCCCCATCATGCCGATGGGAGAGAGCTCTCCTAGACGTGTCTACGCTGGGGTTAGGTCTGCCTCACCATAGTACACAGGGAATGAAACTTTTCACAGCCCTGAGCAACATAGCTAGGTCAATCTGATTTTTTCAGTCTAGACCAGGGCCTAAGCATCTCACATCTCTCTTAGAGCCAGTGGGCTTACTCCGGTTTTGTGTCACCAATGTGGAGCTGAGCTAACACAATAGAGTAACCTCAACTGGAGTACCACAGTGACTTGAGGCGGGCTGGGTGCTGCTATTTTGGTTCCTCATTCTGAGAGGATTTCGTGTTTTTTTTTTTTTTTTTTTTTTTTTGAGAATGGCTTTTCTCAGCATTGCCATACCTTGGGCAAACCAGTTTGAAATGGTGGTGGGCAACCTACGGCCCAGGGGCTACATGCAGCCCATTGCGGTTCCAGCTACTTCCTGCACACACCCCTGTCTGTCTCCCTCCCCCACATGCCCCTCATGCACCAGGGCACTTCCTACTCCTCCCCCTCCCTCCCAGCACTTTCAGGGAAACCACGAATCCGCTGATTTCTGCTCCGTCCCCGCTCCTCCCCCCACCCTCCTAGAGCTTAAAGGCTGCGAATCAGCTGTTCCCGGCAGGTTGCAGAACAGGTGGCAAAGGGTAATTTTCTCACTTTCAACCAAGTGTTTCTTTGAAGTTAAACCACAGTGAATAGTGTGCTGGCACCAAGCGCTGTAGTTCTGCTCCCAGACCTGACATTGGATTTGAAAACATTTTTCTCAAGTCACTGAGAAGGCCTTTCGCCCCTTGTGAGCGCTTACAAATACTGTCTCTCCAAAGGAGGCACACAAGCATGTGAGAAATCTCGCTCTTCAATGGATTTTAAAGCTGTTTCCTCAGACCCTGTGCCTCTCTGATAATCCCTGATTTCAAAGGTTTCTCGACTTTACTGCAGCCCTTTTCACTTACGAAAGAAAAGGGCTTTTGTGCGCCCCACTGGCTGGTGGAAATGTAAGTGTCCTATTGTGTCTTCACAGAATGTTACCAAAGGTGCAAGACACAAAATAGTCATCAGTATCCAAAAGCTGAAAGAGAGGCAGAATCTTCTGAAGTCTTTAGAAAGGGTAAGTCATTTCTGCATCGTTTTCCATTATCGTAATAGCCAGGAATTAATTCTCAGTTGAAGTAGTTTTTGGTTATGGCTGAGTATCTCGTGCATCTTTTTCACTGAGCGTTTGCTTTGGTGGTTTTGCCCTATCTGGCTAATTGTAGCACAAACCCAGTGCTGGACCAGCCACTGGATTTTATCAGCAGGCTGCCCACTGGTGTTTGTACTGGTCCTCCCCCAGTTCCAGGAGGCAGTAACCAGCCCCATACCCAGCACAGGGTATGTGCCCCAACACTGCCTGGCCATTGGAGTTGAAGGCAGTGCCCTGCCCACACAACTGACCCATGGACAATTGTGCTCAACCCCATAGTTAGGTCCATGGGCAGCAACCTGAGTCACTACCCAGCCTGCCAGAGCCACGCTGTTATTTTTAGCGTGTTACCTCCAGCAGAGCTCCCATGTGCATGTCTGCCCTGGCTGGGACTCACCCTTCCCACTGCTGTGTAGACGCACCTTGGGCGGGACGGGGAGTGCCACCCCGTGCACACCAATGTGATGAAACCACACGGTACCCGGCACGTCCCTCTGCTGCTCTGTTCCCTTGTATCCAGTGCAGAGGAAAGAGCCCAGGGAGCAGAGTTTTCATCATGCATGGGATACAGGACCCCTAGGGGGGGTCCCGCAGTCCTGCCCTCCCACTCCTTCTCAGGTGTGGTTCCTGAGTGTCTGCAGGTCTCCCCTGCAGAAGAGGAACACAACTTGTCAATCACAGTGAGCTTCCTAGGCTGGCTGGCTCAGGAAAGCAGCACCCCATCAGTTCATATTCAGCAGGGACTCTTGGCAGTCAGAAGAGATGAAACTTTTTTTTTTTTTTTGGTCCTTTATAATGAACATTTAAATTCTGCCAAAACAGAAGGCGCCATCAGAAAAAGACCAGTGCAAAGCCCCCACCAGCATCTGCTCAGTCCAACACCTCGCTGCTTGTTGTTTCGCGGTTATGTTATAATTGCCTCGATCATTCTATGCACAGCCCCTGACAAAGGGCTGTTCAATAACCACGCTACACCTGGCTATTTATCGGTGTTTGGGTTTGCTCACTGCTTCATTCTGCTTGTTTCAGTTGCGGGGTTTTATTTATAGAACTATAGGAGTTAGTCAAGCCGTGTTTCCCTCTGCACACTAATAACAGCCATTAAATCCAAAAGGGATGGAGTTTGCAAGGCAGATGTGTTTTCGGGGCAATTTCATAGCCTCTCTTCCCCTTCCTCTCCATGGAGTTTGAAATGGGGTGTTGATTGGCTGCCGTTCCTAAAGGACTGTCACTCAAGTTGGGCTGACACAGTGAGCATCACAGCCTAGCCAATACGATGGGGAGAACAGTCGTGTTTGCTCTTCACCATCACCCCACAGCTCAGGCTGGCTTGGGTGCTTCCTCTTAATGGATCTTTCATATGGACATCCCTAGCGCTTTCCCCGGGAGCTTGTCTGCTCTGGTTTTGTGTTGGAAGCAATGCTTCCAGCACCGGGAGAGTGTGGCCCACATTAAGAACGAGATACCGTCCTTCCTGCCCACTTCAGTGGGGGGCGGGATGGAACAGATCTGCGGCTGGAGAACAGCTGTGAGGCACACATCCGCGGTCTGCCTGGTTGCACAAGCCAACGTTTTTCATGCTGAACCACTGGAAGGAATACAAAAGTTCTTCTTCACAAAGCAAATAGTCAGCCTGTGGAACTCCTTGCCGCAGGAGGCTGTGAAGGCTAGAACTATAACAGAGTTTAAAGAGAAGTGAGATAAAGTCATGGAGGTTGGGTCCATGGAGTGCTATTAGCCAGGGGGTAGAAATGGTGTCCCTGGCCTCTGTGGAAGGCTGGAGATGGATGGCACGAGACAAATGGCTTGGTCATTGTCTTCGGTCCATCCCCTCCAGTGTACCTAGTGTTAGCCACTGTTGACAGACAGGCTACTGGGCTAGATGGACCTTTGGTCTGACCCAGGGCGGCCATTGTAAGCTCAGGGCTCAGGGTCGGGGGTCTCAGTGGACCACCTTGATTTTCATGCAAACCTGCTCCTGGGTGGCCAGGCTGGCAGCTCTCCTGCCCTAGACGGCCACTTTCCTGTGCCTAGTGCGGAGGTCGTGGATGAGGTCCACGATGTCCGCACTAGACCAGGCGGGTGCCCGCCTCTTGCGGTCCCGGGCAAGCTCCCGGGAGCCGCCAGCCTGGTCCCGGGAAGAGGGGGAGGGCTGGGGGGCATCGGGTGGTTGGCTCGAGCCGTGCCAGGTGCAGGGTCTGCTAGCTGGGTGCTGGCAGGCTTGCACCTGGCACGGGCAGCGTAGCCAGCCCGGGCCCCTTTAAGGGCTCCGGGGCCGGGAGGGGGGCAGAAGAGTTTCCCTGGTGGTTCCCAGAGTGGCCACCAGGGAAACCTGGGGAGGGCTAGCCTCCCACTAGTTCGAATTAAGTGGCTACACAGCCCTTAATTCGAACTAGGCGTTAGTCCTCGTGGAATGAGGTTTAGCTAGTTCGAATTAAGCGCTCCGCTAGTTTGAATTAAGTTCGAACTAGCGGATCGCTAGTGTAGCGCCTATCAAAGTTAATTCGAACTAACGTCTGTTAGTTCGAATTAACTTTGTAGTGTAGACATACCCTCCCAGTCTAAGTGTAAGACGAGAGACAGTGATAGAAACAGATGGGGAGAGCGAGGAGACAGCACTGTCAGCATGACAGGCCATGGTCTCAGGGCACCACCAGCTTAACCACTGTCAAGTAAGCAGGGGTTTGCAGGAGAATGACGGAAGAGACTTTGTGGAGCTCGTGCCCAGGGGAAAGCAGGAAAGTGCTTGCTTGACAATGTAACGAGTGGGTAATGGAGGTGGCACCATGGGCAGGCAGGAATCAGCCTATCAGCAGTTGTTGAGAGACGAGAGATCAGCTGGGGTTAGGCCTTGCAGCTGAGGACAAGTAGCATATGGGTGATGAGAGAGAAGGGAGCGCTATAGTTGAAACAACTGGGTAGGAAAAAGATCTTAGCCACATTTGGGATGGAGGCGAGAAGGGCAAGTTTGCACCTGTCAAGTCCAGAGAAAAGCGTGTGGCCGCATTAGCTGACATTCTGGGCCTGGGTTTTAGGGACATGGAAGGGCTGGACGTGGGCCAAGAAGGCAGTCCGCAGAGCCCATATGGGGTTAGGCTGGAGACTGCACTGAACTCTCGTGGGCTGTTCTTACGTGGTTGCTATGGAAATGGCCACGCCTCTGCTTTCTGGAAGGGTGGGACTCTTGTCAGATCAACGGTTCTTCTCGTGGGGTTTCACCCCTCTTGGCTTGCCTCTGCACTGCATTTGGAAGCTGGACTTGCCCCGGTTTTGGCTCCCGCTGCATCCCTGGGCTGGATTCAGATTCAGGAGCTCGGATCTGAAAAGACACCCCTGAAGTGCAGGTAGGGGCTTTGTAGGTGGCTTCAGACTGAACATTCTAGTTCTTGCCCATTTCTGTCAGGTAAGTGAAAGACCCGGGAAATTCAGTGGACTGACTCACCGACCATGAACCACGCAGTCCCAGGAAGCTCTGAGTAGGAGCAATAGAAGAGGCTTCTTTTCCTGGTGTCACCGTCCGAGCTGAGGCAGTGCTGTCAGCTCAGGGCAGCTAGCGGCATAGGGGTTGCAGACACACCAGCTGCTAATCTATTTTGTGTCTGGAATCTGCAGGACATCCTGGAAGGTGGCAACCTGCGCCTCCCACTGCAGGAGCTACACCAAATGATCCTCACTCCCATCAAAGCCTACTGCTCCCAGAACGCAAGCACCGACGAGCATAGCCGGGACTGCCTGGATTCCCGCCACCCGCCCTCTCTGATCGGCTCGGACAGCCAAGGGTCTGACTGCAAGGACTCTGTCTCCGGGTGCCTACCGCAGCACCACTTGCCTGGCTGCGAGGGCGAGTCTGGCGGGGCGCCGTTGCCCGAAGGGGATCTCCCTGGGCAGTTCACAAGAGTCATGGGGAAAGGTCAGTCCCTCCCATTGTCATTATTCCTTCTGTTCGGAGCAAGCGGTTACAAACAGGAGTTAATTCATAGCAGCTGTGACCACCCTCCTTGCGTCCCCATGATCATATTGTCTGGGCCCCCTTGTGCTAGGCCCTGTGCCAGCACGTAAGAAGAGACGCTCCCCGTGAGGGGTCCCTTCCTTCTGTGGGCTAAGGAGCTCCCGACGGCATCACGCCTGTCTGTCACAAAACCTCCTTGGCCCACGGCACCACATCCAGCTTTAGGGGTTACGTCTACACTGCGCACGAAGGCTGGGTTCTGACTCCGGTTTGAGCCCAAGTCCTCTTTCCGTCCACACTGATCGCTGTGACTCAGACCCAGGCTTTGTTGGCAGTGTAGCCATAGCCAGGAAGACCCTCACAGGTACAGCTGAGCCCTGGACAAACAGGCATGCTGGAAGTCCGAACCAGAGTGGGCCTTTAATGTTTGAGCATTATTTTGTTAAAGCTCGTGAAGGCTCTTCCCCTTTGTGGTGCGTGGTCCTTAGAATCAAGTGGCTTCTCTCGGGTTGCCCTCAGTCTAGCCCCTTGCCCTCTGCTGCTTCCTGGTCCCACGTACGCCTGAGGAGTTTTTTTTATAGCCCTGGCGTGCAACACGAGGGCGTGCACGTTCAGAGCAGCTGCTTCCTTTAGCTCCGTGATCATGTGACACGGAGCTCCTGGGACTGGCACGTCTTTAATGTGAACGTTGTGAGCGTGTTGGGTATTTTTAAAACACTTTCCTTGGTGTCATGGGCCCTGACAATACATGCTGACGTGCTTTGCTGAACTTGAAGCAGGTTGCCCATGCAGTCTGAGTTCCTGTGGTCATTCTGCCCATGGTTTCTGTGTGCCGCTGCCCCAGCCCTGCGAAATACAAGTGGCACGGTCATGCCAGGCAAAACCCTTTGCCACTGATGTACATTGCTTCATCGACTTTAGCAGCATTTTGCCCATTTATACCAGCAGAGAATTTCTCCTGCTGTGGTCATAACAAAGCAACATCATTTCTGTAACTGAGGATTTAAAAGAATCTTGACGTGGGATGGGGGAACCCATTTCGTCTCCTTTTTGAACTGTGAAAACATCTCTAAATTGTTCCCAAAGTAGCTTTTCTGTAAGATATGACATGGATGGGGCGCTAGGAAAGGTTCCCTTCACACTCGCTTGGGAGAACATGCACAACTTAGTCATAGCTTTGCCGCATCTGGGTAATTCAGATTGCTCCCTCCCAATACGGGGAGTGTGGGAGTGAGCTCTGTGTAGCAGCTTGCTGTGCAGAGAATGGAGTAGTTTGGTAACTGGAGGGTGGGAAAATGTGTCAGAAAAAAAAGTGTGAATGTCATGGAGTAAATTCAGTGCCAGCCCAATTTCTAGCATAAGTTTATGAATAGAAATAAAATACAAATGATATAGAAAATTCAAAGGGCAGAAAAACCAACCTGGCATGAAATTTCACACTGTTTGGCCACCAACTTTGAGAAAAATGGCTCTTTGTGCCCCATTTTAAGCTCGTATCAGACCGCACCGCTAGCTCTGGTGCCATGACCAGCACCAATGTATGAAGTTGAGTGGCCTGGAGATTTATCCGTCGAAGTTGGGGAAACTGCACTGTTAGCAGACACACTCCGAGGCCTCCTCTGAAAACTGGGGAAATTTATGGGTCGCCATGAGGGTTACAATTGGTGGAAGCCATAATGTAGAGAAAGCTCCTATGCCCAATTGTTTTGGTGATGCTTGCTTTCCAGCAGATCTAACTAATGTGGCCGTTCTGGCTGTGGCAGCCTGCAACTCCCTCAGGCTTTAACACCAGTTCACTTGAGCCAGGGCTAGAATGGGTGGGAGCAGACACTGTTGTATTCTGTAAGTTCATAGAATCCTAGAGCTGGAAGAGACCTCAGGAGGTCATCGAGTCCAACCCCCTGCCCAAAGCAGGACCAACCCCAACTCAATCATCCCAGCCAGGGCTTTGTCAAGCCGAGACTTAAAAACCTCTAGGGATGGAGATTCCACCCCCTCCCTAGGGAACCCATCCCAGTGCTTCACCCGTTAATGTGCACTCACTTTTGTGGTGGTATTCAACATCTTGTCAGTCAAATCAGAGGGAATTCTGTCATTGACTGCAGGATTTGGTCCTGGGAGCACTAGATTTTTAACAACTCACTCTTTGTGAGACAGCCTGCAGGATTTGGTCCTGGGAGCACTAGATTTTTAACAACTCACTGAGTTGTCATGAGACAGTGTCGTTCACATGTGAGAATGGGCAGGTAGGGAGGGCACCAGATTCTACTCTTACTGCTGATTTGTGCGCACCATGTGAGAATGGGCAGGTAGGGAGGGCACCAGAGTCTACTCTGTTACTGCTGATTTGCACACATATACTCTGGATTGGCAGTAGTGTGACTAAGAGCGAAATCTGGCTCTAAATATAGACTGGCATAGTTGGAATTGTAAAAGAGTATCTTTCCACACTAGTGCTCCATTGATGAAAACTCCTTTTCGGACAATTGCAAGGGAGTTCTGAGACGGTTCTTAAAAACAACACGTTAATTTCATTCTTGTTTCCTGGTTATCGTGTGTTTTGCTAGCTATCCTTTGTTTGTTTGTTTGCAGTATGTACGCAACTTTTAGTTTCCAGACCTGATGAGGAGAATATAAGTTCCTATTTACAGCTCATAGACAAATGTCTCATTCATGAGGTGAGTTGTGTTACAACTTATAAAACTGTTGTTCTCATTGCTTAGAAACTGTTTCCAAAGTTTCTGTTTATGTAAACATTTTGGTTTCTAGCACAAATATTTTGGGGGGTATTAATAGTAATTCTGACCGCATCAGACTGTAAATGCAATGTGGTGTACAGAAGTGTAGGTCACTATGCCCCTGTACAACAGCAAAGAACTGGAACTGAGAAATTCATCATGCTTGTGGCAATATGCTCAACAGCTGGGTGACCGAAAAACCCAGAATGAACATGCATGGAGTTTCTAGCAGAGAGACCAAACTATCATTCAGTATTTCAAGCTTCTGTTTTGCAGCAGAAATTATGTGACTTTCTGCTGGCGTTCTGCGTGCCTCTTCGTGTAGAGCTGCTACTTTATGGATGTTTGTTTTGAGCTGTAACTTTCTCTAAAAGGTACATTACCACTTGTCCTTCACAGTGACTGAAACATACTTTGAGCTCCATAGATACAGGGTACAAACCACCCAGCTGTGTATATTTATCCCCTTATGGGTGCATCTACACTGCACCATTATTTCCCGATAACTAGTGTTATTTCGAAATAACAATGCGAGTGTCTACACAGTCATTCCGTTATTTTGAAATAGTTTCGACATAACGGACGGCTTATTCCAAAACCTGTAAATTTCATTCTACGAGGAATAACGCCTCTTCCAAAATAGCTATTTCGAAATAAGGCGTGTGTAGACACTCCACTGCTGCTATTTCGAAATACCCCCTCACCAGGGCCATTCTAAGCTATTCCTCCCCAGTGCCTCCTGGGGCTCTAAATTGAGATAGCATGTCTACATTAGGGAAGCCTGCCTCGGACTCATTTGGAGGCTTTCCTGCAGTGTAGATGTGTTTATTTCAAAATAAGCTATTTTGGAATAACAATTCCGGAATAGCTTATTTTGAAATAAGCGTGCAGTGTTGACGTACCTTATGTGTGCTGAGTTCCTGCTGCACTTGTTACTCCTGGGGAATTCTGTGCCAAAATATTAAACATTCTGCACATACTATTTTAAAATAACACATATTTTCTATGTCAAATAACGTGATATAATCACACCAGTTTCAGTTATTTTAGTAATTTATTTCAAAATACTTGTCACCGAGTAGATCTGTAACAATGCAAACTGGAAAAGGACAAGATTGGGAATGTTTTTTGGCAAAAAAGTTCCTTATTAGGCATAATAATACAGAAATTTGAGTTATTGAACTGTAATACTGAACTTTAATTCCTGCACTCCTCACCAGCACTGGGAAGGCTCAGGAGATTCATTGGTATCAGAAGATCAGAGGAAGAGGGAAGGAGCCCAGGGAGTGAACCTGGTGGATTATTGAATGTGGGTGGGAGAAGTATAGGACAGGTTTAGGGTGGGCATAGGGATTGTTTGGCAGTTGGGGAGCCTTTTCCTCTCCAATTTTGACTGACCCCTAATCTCTCCCATTCAGTCACACACAATCTGTGTATCCCTGCAGTCCCCTGCCCCCATTCAGATATGTCTTACAGCCCCCCTTCTCCATGTCCCCATGTGGCCATGCACCCCCCTGTCCTCATGTGGCCCTGCAGCCCACCTCACAATTCAGCCCCAGTTCAATGCTGTCACCCCACTAGCTCCTGAGCCTGCACTCAAGTATGTCCCCCCACTAGCTCTTCTGAACCCCAGTCTGGGATCCCATCAGCAGTCCAAGATACCCCACTCTGTCAATCCAGTACCTCCTTACCTGCCCCCTCTGTGAGGATAGCAGACTCTCTTGCTGACTGCCCTCTCTTTGGTACCACAGCAACCTCTCATGGGTGAAAGATATAACTCCAGAGCCTCACACAGAATCTGTATTCTGTGGAGAAAAAAATCTGAAGGGGACATGAATTCTTCATGTGCGCAGTAGGGATGTTAGCTATCGGGTAATTGAATAGTCATGGAGCTGCATGAAATCTTTGCAGTTACATGACTAATCAGTGGTCCCCTGGTGTGGGGGCAGCAGCCTGTGCACTCCGACCCCACTCCCGGGGAGCCCCCTGCCACCTCATGCTGCAGCCTCTCTATCAGAGGCAGCTGCGCCGGGTGGTAGGTGGAGCTGATCCATGAGGGGAGCCAGTTTCAAAACCCGCTCCCCTTGCAGACCGGCTGCCTGCCACCCCATGCTGCTGCCTCTAATAGAGAGGCAGCAGCACGGGGTGGCAGCAGCCCCTGTTTGTTTGGGGGAGGGGTCCAAGCTCCCCATGGACAGAGGCTGCTCCACGGGATGCGAAGCAGCCTCTGCATGCGATGAGTTCAGACTCCCTGCGGACAGAGGCTGCTGGAGAGGCAACAGTGCGGGGGCGGGAGGGGCAGATGGCACCATGAAGCTAGTGCTGGAGAGAAACAACTTTAATCCTGATCCCCCCAGAACTGTCTCCTGCCCCCCTTTGCTGCTATGATACATAGTCAGCGGACGGGGGTGGGGTGCGAGTAGTAGACAAGATTAACCAATAAGCCTAGGCTTATTGGTTAATTGTCTAGTCAACTGCTCGTTCACATCCCTAGTGGTCAGTGGTGCAGAATTCCCCTAGGAGTAACTTGTATATGTGCTGCACTTGATCTTACACCATGCGTGACATTGAGTGGCCATGCATCTGAAATCTGGGTGGATCTCTAAATGTTTTCTTGTGTCAGAAGATCTACTGTTTACACTGTCTTTACATGGTCACTTGTGTGTAAAAGTAGAGTCTAGAAGCACAAAGAAATCTGTACTGTCCTGTAGAAAAAGATGTGGCCGCATTTTGGCAAAAGTATGTGGACTGCTGTAAACATAGAGATATACAGTACACTAGGTGAAAAAAAGGGTTGAATTGCAGAGTTCTGAATCCTTCAGTTTACTGTGGCCCTGTGAGAAGCTGTTGCTTAAATAATAGAATCATAGAATAATAGGACTGGAAGGGACCTCGAGAGGTCATCGAGTCCAGCCCCCCGCCCTCAAGGCAGGATCAAGCTCCGTCTACACCATCCCTGACAGAGCTCTCAGGTTGTTCTTGGGTATTTCCCTTCGTCAAAAAGGCTCTGATTCAGGAAAGCATTAAATATGTGCTTAGAGTAATTAACTATTGGCACAGTTTACCACGGGCCACGGTGGAGGCACCATCACTGTAATTTTTAAATTAAGATTGGATTTTTGCAAAGATATTCTCTAGTTCAAGTGGAATTATTCCGAAGAAATTCTGTGACCTGGTGGAGCTCAGACAAGCTGATCACAGTGGCCTGGAATCTCTGAAGGGTTTTCCTGAATCTGGGACAAAGACAGAGATTTCCAGCTCTGAAGGGAAGTCACTGATGCTCAGGGTTTGAAAAAACAAACACTGGGCGCCCAGAATGCTTCTGTCAACAATAGTAACAAGGTTGCCAAGAGTTTCCAGTGAATGGCATTGAATTGTCAGCATACGTTGTCACCGTACATTTTACCACTTGAAATATACAGCAGCTGCTCTTGGAAATGTCATTTTACTATGGAGCGAGCAGTTAGCTTGCTCTCCCACCTCAGCAATGTTTCTGCCTAAGCCAGGGACGTAGTTTAAATATCCCAAAGCTTCTAGTATTTTGATGTGAAGCGAACTCTTCCATATGAGTCCAAGTCCACGGAGATCACATGAAAAGCTCCTTTCACTCTGGTTCTTCATGTATTTCCAGACATAGGAACATTTTCCCTTTGATTGCTCCATGATGAGTTTTCAAGTCAATGCAGCCTTACAAACTGCAGCCCTCCTTCCACCCCCCCC